GCAAGTTTAAATGCCAAACATTGCTATGCCAAGAATAATTGATAACAGATTTGACATTCTATTTTTTAACCTTTTCTCCTCCATTTTAATTTTCTTTTTGAGTCAATCCCTAATATTTATTGTTTGTTCTGACTACAAATTCTTGGGCTTTTGACGATTCAATTTGTATTAATTAAAAATTCTGGCATTTTTGCTTCAATTGATGCCTTCGTTCTTTGGAAGATCGCATTTTAGTGAGTTCCTTCCCATGATACATTGAATCGACAACTATCAGAAAGTTTAAACTTTTATATAGGACGACGTGTATATCATTTAAATACCAAAAAAATTCGTATTTACATCATTATAATATAAAAATTCACGATTTACTATATGACATTTTTTATTCAAGAAATGCTTTGTAATTTAGTAATTATTTTAAGAAATACTATGTACTAAATTTAGACCCCAAAAGTCTTTATAACTGACATAATTTCAAATTATTCTAATATTAAGCTGGATGTTACGTCTTGCCATTAAGACTCAAGTTAAAGTGTCACGTAGCAATCCACACGGGCAAAAAAGTCAACAACGACCCAATATCAAAGATAAAGAAATCATATGAATGGTTGAATCTATTACGTAGAAGTACAGCCCAAACTGCTGAAGTGCGTGAATCCGAAGCGCTACATAAAGAAATCGAAGAAGCCGAAACTCTTCACGCAAAGGACCAACGCTAAGATTCCTCGAGGCCCTTAATTCACCTGAAACTCATGAAGTTGAAGTTGTCTCTTACAAGATCCTCAAGCAGTCTTTAAAAATGATTGATGTAATGTTTGTAATAAAGAATGTCAGGTGTGTCAGCCTATTGGATATGCAGCTAGCCCATTGTCTATGTATTTATTGTATGATAGACAGTGATGTAAATTCTTAGTCAAGGAGCTGAGGCCACGTGATTTTGATCCAACGGACACCACGTCGGCCAAACTACTATAAATAGGCCCTTCTTGTAACTGAAAACTGGTTGGATTCTTGAACTTTAGACCGTTGAACTCTTGATCCTTGATAATACAAATGATCTTGCAAACTCTATACATGTTGTTTTGTTTTTTCTATATACATTAGTTGATCTTTTTATTGGTTTACCTTGGTATTCAATTGGTGATTGTTGTTAGTACAATCATCTTTGTTCTACCCGTCGGTGTTTGAACACTTTTGTCTCACGCTTGAAGCATTTCATAAAACAATTTAATGAAGAAATTNGGTAGTACAATCATCTTTGTTCTACCCGTCGGTGTTTGAACACGTTTGTCTCACGCTTGTAGCATTTCATAAAACAATTAAATGAAGAAATTGAACCAAGACTAATGGAGCTAAAACCAGCAATGTACTGGCTATATTTTTACTTTCACAATCAAATTTTTATTATATGAATGAAGTAAATTACAAGAGTATAAATAAAACATTTACAACAACTTTTGCTTATGTGTCAATAACAAGAATTTGTTACAACAAGAATGGAATCATTCTTAGCTGAGCGGGAGCACCACCCTCATTCCAGCAGCTCCAGAAGCTTCCAGATTCTTCAAGCATTTCAGCTCTCCACGATATGATTTCCAACATCCCCCCTCAAGGTGGAGAGTAGATGTTTTCTACTCCCATCTTGGACAGATGTGAATAAAACAAAGCAAAACATAGGGGCTTAGTGAAGATGTCAGCAATTTGCAAACCGGTTCTTACATGCCTTGTAAAAACGCTTCCATCTTGAATATTGACTCGAATTAAATGGCAATCTAATTCAATATGCTTCGTCCTTTCATGAAATACTGGATT